TCCAGGCTGCAGTTATACCCTTCTCAAATTGGTCGGGCTTTTACAGTGTAGCCTATGTGCAGGTTGCTTTGAACGTGCTGTAAAACGGGGACATTTCCGGGGACAGCTCCAGCTGGGGACAGGACACAAAAAACCAGGACTGTCGCCATGTTTTTGCTGTCACATCGTATCTACACTGGACGCGACAAAGCATTGCAAATCATTTGAACGTTGTGTCAGTAGGCCTATGTTATGAATAGAACGAGTCAGCAGTTTACTGTCGGGGATTTGTCGTGTCGCGCCGCATCAAAGACAGCATCACTGATGATTATAACGAGTTCTTGTATTTTATTGCGTCGCGCCGCTCGCGTCCGGTGTAGACACAACGTAAGTTAATGTAGCTTTCTGATGCTGCATTTGAATTTTCATGCCACATTATTTGAAATTAGCGTAGGCCAAACTTTTTTCTCTCACGGGCCAGATGTGGCCCGCGAGCCGCCTATTGTGGAACTCCCTTACACCTAAACCTCACAGAAAAATTTCTGCATTTTTACATTCTCAAAAAAAATACAAAATAAATCATTCTGTATGATTTAGGTCCCCATGAGTCGGTGTGTATACAGGATTAAGTCCCCACCGGGATAGAAACACACACACACTTGCTCTAGTGCAAAATAAGGTTACACTCACTCACTCGTCTACAAGCCTCCACCTAGCTCATTCATTAAACATTTACTGGTGTGTGATGGAGAAAAAAAGAGATCTGTCAAACCATACAGATATCAAAGCCTTCAAAACTCCCTTTCAAAGCATTAGTTCAGGCAAAAGAAAGTTCTGTTACCATTAAAGGGTTAGTTCACCCAAAAATGAAAATGTTTTACTCACCCTTGAAGCATCCTAGGTGTATATGGCTTACTTCTTTCAGACGAATCCAGTCAGAGTTATATTAAAAATTGTTCTGGCTATTCCAAGCTCTATCATTGCAGTCAGCGGGTGTTGCAGTTGAACAGTCCACAAGTCGTCAAATAAAGCACGCACATCCATAATAAAACGTGCCTCACATGGCTCCGGGGGGTGAATAAAGGCCTCCTGTAGCGAATCCATGTGTTTTTGTAAGAAAAATATCCATATTTCAAACGTAATAAACACTTTTCTCTCACTTCCGGTTTCTGTCATATGCGGAAGCCGTTACGGCGGATGATGGAAGACGTCGGCATTGCGTAATTAGTGACGAATGTGGAGAGAGAACAAAACAAAACGCCGGTCACGAATTAGAAGTACAAACCGAGGATTTGTAAAGAAAAATGTCGGAGGATTTCGATATAAACCAAGAGGAGACTGGTTTTCCTTTGCTAAAGTAAGGAAACTTTGCTTCCTTTGCTCCTATTAAACAAACTCGCGAGACTAGCATATCTCAGAGGCACACATGCTGCGCATATGTCCTGCGTCATCCGCCGGAACGCCTTCCGCGTATGACCAGAAGTGAGAGAAAAGTGTTTACGTTTGAAATATGGATATTTTTCTTAGAAAAATGCATGGATTCACTACAGGAGGCCTTTATTCACCCCCCGGAGCCGTGTGAGGCACGTTTTATTATGGATGCGCACACTTTATTTGACGACTTGTGGACTGTTCA